TCCCAGATGAGCGGGCTAGGAATTGCAGCAGATACGGGGGCCAGGACACACCGGAAGAAGCACCGTCATGCTCACCACGACATCGGGGGTGCAGCAACCCCCGCGCAAGAATTTAATACCGGCATGGATCAAGGAGGCTTGCAGCAGCCACAGCAGCAACAACAACAATCGCAGTTCCTAAACACAGGCTTGAACCAATATGCTGAACGACCAGTTTCCCCGGCGGTGGGGTTAGTATCTGGGCAGTCTGTCGCCGACATACCTGGTATGACGAGTGGTGCAGGTTCTGTGCCTACTTCAGGGCGAATTGACCCAGAGCATATTCCTAGCATCCCGCGATCGCGCGACCTGCCCGCTCGGTACTATTTCAACCATGTCTACCCGACAATGGATCAACACCTCCCCCCACCAGCAGCGATCCCGTTCGTGGCTCAGGACCAAGGCAACTCCTCTCCTAAATACGCTCGATTAACGCTCAATAACATCCCTTCCGCCTCTGACTTCCTTGCCTCGACCGGCTTGCCATTGGGTATGATCTTGCAGCCTCTCGCGCCTCTAGATCCCGGCGAACAACCGATCCCCGTGCTGGACTTCGGGGATGTTGGTCCCCCACGATGCCGACGATGCCGAACATATATCAACCCATTCATGTCCTTCCGATCTGGCGGCAGCAAGTTCGTCTGTAATATGTGCACGTTCCCGAATGATACGCCTCCCGAATACTTTGCGCCGCTGGACCCTTCCGGTGGACGTGTGGATCGCATGCAACGTCCTGAATTACTGGTGGGAACCGTGGAGTTTACGGTCCCGAAGGAATACTGGAACAAGGAGCCGGTGGGCCTTCAAACCCTCTTCTTAATTGATGTCAGCAGAGAGTCGGTTCATCGAGGTTTCCTCAAGGGTGTTTGCGCAGGTATCAAGGATGCTCTGTACGGTAGTGATAATGAAGCATCAGAGGGCGCCGAAGGCGAGGAATTACCACGAAAATTACCTGTTGGGGCGAAGGTCGGCATTGTTACGTATGATAAGGAGGTGCACTTCTACAACCTGTCCGTATGTGTTCCACACTCTGCGATACCCTTCTTCTATTAACACGTTCGCAGGCGGCATTGGATCAAGCGCAGATGATGGTCATGACCGATTTGGATGAGCCATTTGTACCGCTGAGCGAAGGTCTCTTTGTGGACCCATATGAGTCCAAGTATGCGATCTTATAGTTCTGGTCTCCTACGGATCACTAACGATATTTAGGTCTGTGATCACTTCTCTTCTCAGTCGGATACCCAAAATTTTCTCTTCTATCAAAAACCCCGATTCAGCTTTGCTGCCGACATTGAACTCGGCGCTCTCCGCACTGCAGGCTACAGGTGGCAAGATCGTCTGCGCGGTGGCTAGCTTACCTACCTACGGCCCGGGACACTTGGCTATCAGAGAAGATCCTAAAGTTTATGGAACGGATGCGGAACGGAAACTTTTCACCACGGAAAACCCAGCCTGGAAGAAGACGGCAAGCAAGTTGGCTGAAGCCGGTGTGGGCATGGATTTGTTCGTGGCAGCCCCTGGTGGCACATACCTCGATGTGGCAACAATTGGTATGTTGAAAGCGTCATTCAGCCCTATACAAAGAGCCAACTAATATGGTGCATAGGACATGTCTCTAGTCTCACCGGAGGCGAGACCTTCTTCTACCCTAATTTCCATGCCCCGCGCGATCTCCTCAAGCTCCGACATGAAATCGCTCATGCCGTCACTCGTGAGACGGGCTATCAAACACTGATGAAAGTTCGATGCTCCAATGGACTTCAAGTGTCCGCCTACCACGGAAACTTTGTCCAGCACACACTCGGCGCTGATCTGGAGATTGCCGGTGTCGATGCCGACAAGGCTGTCGGCGTGCTCTTCAGCTACGACGGTAAACTTGATCCCAAGCTAGATGCGCACTTCCAGGCCGCGTTGCTTTACACTTCCGCAGACGGTCAACGCCGTGTCCGATGTATCAATGTTGTGGCGGCAGTGAATGAAGGAGGCCTGGAGACGATGAAGTTTGTCGACCAGGATGCCGTAGTCTCGGTTATTGCCAAAGAGGGTAAGCTGGACGATCTATTAGAAAATGTTGACCGTGTATACTGATACCATCATAGCCGCTTCGAAGACCCTGGACAAGAACCTCAAGGACATCCGAGCCAATATCTCAGAGAAGACAGTCGATATTTTCAGCGGATACCGCAAGATCTTCTCCGGCTCGCACCCTCCCGGCCAGCTAGTTCTACCGGAGAATCTGAAGGAGTTCTCGATGTACATGCTCAGCTTGGTCAAATCGAGAGCATTCAAGGCCGGCCCCGAGTCATCAGACCGGCGGGTGCATGATATGCGCATGATCCGGTCAATGGGCTGCACGGAAATGGCGTTGTACCTCTACCCTCGCATTATCCCCGTGCACAACATGCAGCCGGAAGATGGATTTGCGAACGAGCAGGGACAGCTCCAAATCCCGCCCTCCCTGCGAGCCAGCTTTTCCCGTATCGAAGAAGGTGGTGTCTACATCGTGGACAACGGTCAGGCAGTCATCCTTTGGCTGCACGCGCAGGTCTCACCCAATTTACTGGAAGACCTATTCGGGCCGGGCCACGACTCCATCCAGGGCCTGAACCCCAACACTTCGTCCCTGCCTGTGCTCGAGACACACTTGAACGCACAGGTGCGTAATCTGCTGCAGTATTTGTCGACGGTGCGCGGATCCAAGTCCGTAACGATCCAACTGGCCCGGCAAGGCCTGGACGGAGCAGAATACGAGTTCGCCCGACTCCTGCTGGAGGACCGGAATAACGAGGCTCAGAGCTACGTTGACTGGCTGGTGCATATCCATCGCCAGATTAACTTGGAGCTGGCAGGTCACCGGAAGAAGGAGGATGGCAGCGAGGGCGCATTGGCTAGTCTGTCGGCCATGCGCGCTCCGTATTGGTAGATATTTGATCCGGGATCTTCCATCCCTCCTTTCATTCCAGGCACTGTTTCTTACCGGTTGATTCCCGGATCTAGACTGCAGGTAAGCTGCAAACAAGGGAAGTGGAGGGGGGTTAATTGGTGGGGTTGATGGGGGTAGGGGTCCAGCTTGTTCCTCGCGGACTGGGAAGGCCCACGGGGAACTCCGGTGCGGACTATAGTGGCTTACAGGGGCAGTGATCGAGGGTTAAGTTCGGAAAAAAAAAACAAACAGAATAATTGGGAGATGGGAGAAATCCTTTGTGTATACCAGGATTAGTTTTCTTTTATTATTGAGAGTTCTTCAAGTCATAATCTCTATGCACATGGCGATAAATGCCATGGTCATACATCCCATTGCCTAACTCAGGTCGGATTTGATTAATTCAAAAACTTAAGCCCTAATTCAGAACCTTTTAGTGAAAACTTTATCATAGAGTTAGTAGTCCGTATTATGTACAATGTAGGATGTAGAACATGCTTTTGCCAAAAGAATCCAGACTCGATCGCCAGGCACAGTCGGTTGTATGGGCACTAGATCAACGTCAGAGGCGTCTGGTGGGGTGTTGATAAAGATATCATTGGCTTAGATTCTTTGACACAGGGGTCCAGGACTACATACTCCAACACATAAAGTTTATATGTTGTAGGATTTTCTTGTAAGAGGGTCTGAACTGTGGAGAGTCAGCTCCCACTTACCTAGTAGGATTTAGTTTGTATAAGAATTATCGAGCATTGGCATCGAGAATGGAGCCAGGCCGGTCGAATTGGTAATTGTGGTAATAATCTATAGGAGATATTATGATTGGCTCGGTTGACAGACATTCTTTAGAAGACTGCGTATGTTGTATATTGGGCAATATAGTTGTCTGCTTGGTAATGTCCTACTTGCCACATTATGATGTTGAAGTACTCCGTACAGTGTGCACCCTGGGTTCTCATCGACACTCATTGCTTGCTGATATTTGCCTCAATTTGGTTAGACTATCATTCTAGATTCTGAATTTTTTCTAATGTACGATTATTTCTCTAGTATCCGAGAAATGGGATAGAAAGGTTGTAATAGTGGCCACCACAACCACAGAACGAGCTCCAAATCCCCAGTCGTTCCTGGCGAAAAAAGTGCGATAAGTGGCTGTGTAGCCATGCAGTCGAGCTTCTACCATGTTCTTTGCCATGGGTTTTGCTGGTTCGAGCCTTCAAACCAATTCTTTCCATCTGTTAGAACCGCGGATGCGGTCAGACGGCCCATGACGTGTGGGGTTTGGGGGGTTATGGGCACTATTGCCACGTTGTGAGTTGTGGCTTTTAGGCGATCAGTGGGCCAATTTTATAGTGGTAAGTTGTATGAACACGCAGAAGTCCCTATGTCGACACGCCCCAGACTATGGCCTACCTCGTATATAAACTGTGGCGGTGATGCCCTAACTGGTAGCAATGCAGACTTTATGCAGTTGATAAGTCGAATAATGTTATAACTATGTAGTATATATCTGATATCATCTGATTGTACGCACTTAATTTGGATGTCTTTTGGATGTATACAAAGCTTCGCTCACCGGTCTGGGCTCTCTCTGTCGAAACTCGAAAGAAGCCGAGGCGAGATTTTCGTTCCACTCTTTTTTGTGTTTTCTCTGTTTTTTCTGTTTTTTCTTTCTTTTTTTCTCGAATTTCTGCTTTTTATTTTTTTCGCCTTTTCGCCTTTTGCCTTTGGATCGCCCCACAATTCCCTGAACCGATCCATGGCTCGAAGTATGGGTGGCTTTGCACGTTTTCTTTCAACTGTACCTGGGTCTATATGCCTCTCTCAGTTCAGAGGCTATATAAACCCCTTCGTTCACCCGGGGATTTCTGTTCTTCCAAACACATTCACTATCAAAGTACTACCAGTACATTCTCTCTTTTTTATTCATTCTCTTCAGTCTCGAGATTGACTCTCGTCTCATTCTTTACGTCTGTCGACCAGACCACATCACTCCAATCTACATCAGTCTATATACATCTTCCTATCTTTCAAGATGATGTTCACCAAGACCCTCGGCCTTGCCGCTCTCTTCTCCACCATTGTTTCGGCCCTTCCCCAGGAGATGGTCCGCCGCTCGGGCATCGTCCGCCGTGATGGCGGCGGTGTCACGATCACCAACAACCTGTCCCAGGACGTCTACGCCTGGTCCGTGGCCGGCGACGTCGGTCCCATGCAGACCATCTCGGGCAACGGTGGCACCTACTCCGAGACATGGCGCACCAACCCCAACGGCGGTGGCATCTCTATCAAGTTGGCCCTCGAGCCAGAGCAGATCGGTGTCCTCCAGTTCGAGTACACCGAGGCTGGCGATACCATCTTCTGGGATATGTCTTGCATTGACATGCAGTCCGGCAGCAACAAGTTCACCGACCAAGGCTTCTCCGTCGTGCCTTCCGATGAGACCTCCACTTGCCCCACGGCTATTTGCAAGGCCGGTGACACCGCTTGCTCCGCTGCGTACCTCCAGCCCACTGATGACCACGCCACCCACGGCTGCCCCATCGACACTGCTCTGGATCTCTTCATTGGCCAGTCCTAGATTTGTCCACTGGTTTACTTTTGTTTCTGCCGGTTGAACTGTGCATCCTTTCTTTTATACATACCTTTCACACCCACATCTAGCCCTAGATGGCAGATTTTTTTCTTTCTTTTATATCACCCCAGGTGGTGATACCCTTTTGAGATGATGAGATTGGTGATTTTTTTGTTATGCAACATGTTCGGTTGATTCGACATGTCTTCTCCCCATCTATAGCAGGTTGATTCCCGCTGGGGCAGGATGTCTCGTCACGAGCTATGATTTCTTACGGTTTTCCGAAATACCCCCCACCTTGGAATGAATGGGAATGGGAATGGTTGAATATAGACAGGGAGTTATATATGGCGGGGGAGAAAATAGATGGACTTGTGAATAGATAGATGATCATCAGATCTTGAAGATTACACACGAAATATACGATCTTTACTTCAGAAATCTACTCGAATTTAGCATTTTCAAACTATCTGACTAGACGTGAAAAAACCAGCCCTAAAGAACAATCCATAGGAATCCTCAAAATACGAAGAATTCTCTGGGAGGCAAAAAAGCCCCGAAAAAGGCTGTAGAGCACGAGCGAAGGCTCAAACCGGTAAGATCCCCGAATCCACCAAATGATCACATACAGAACACATACTCAGTGCGAAGGAATAATCAATCACGTTCTAGAACCAGTGATAGACAGGGACCCTTGACAACCCCAACACACAAATCGCCCATTTGTAGATCTGGCCCCACATCTCAGGGCCCACCGCCAGTCGGATGGGCGGATGGCGTTTAAAAGTGTCCACTGCGGGGCCACGTAGCGTTGAGATTTTCGATTGGAGATTTCCGACGGAGCCTCGATCTGATTTGCTGGATATTATTCCTCCAAGGAATCAAGTCGGATGAATTTGGCTCAGATCAGCGCTTTTCGCTCTCGAACAACGCTTTAAGTTGTACAGCGTTGTCATTTATCCCGGTTTTGGTGTGCTTTATATTACTTTCGTCATAGGTACTCCGTGGGTAGTATGTACAATCCAGTACAAGTACACGTGGTATGAACTCATGGCAGGCAGGTACACAAACTCTCAAGGCAGGTACATAACTCAAAGTGCCGAGTTATCCATTCACGTTGAGCGGACCGTATCTGTCAGGACTGTTCCTGTTGAGGGGCGACATCGGTTGTCCGGTTGAACCGCCCGTCGTCAACCGTGGAACGTTCGGTTAAATCTCTGGGAACCAACGGGGACTAACCGGCAGTTGGAGGATGCCGATTATTAAGCTTATTTCCGCCAATGGACTCCGGTTATGCTTAATCTCTCCAACTCTTTTCCCGTTTAGTATTCCATCCCCATGCCAAGATTGCCGTTTTTCACCTCGGCATGGCTTGATTCTTGGATGCGCAGTCTAGAACCACTGTTACAGGGTGGGGGTGAACCCCTGCCAACTCCATTCCCATTGAACCGTCTACTTCGTATTTGGCCTTCACGAGGGATTCAATGCTGCCTGCCTAGTCGGGTGTACCGGGTGCTCTCGGGTAGAACTGTGAGTCACAGGCTTCACCGTTGATTAGGCATCATCTTGGTAGGTCAAAGTTGACACCGGGTCAACCTTCCATATTAGTCAATGTACTCTCTTTGCGTTGTGCAATGTACACATCGTGCTCAGTGGCGGGTATGGATGACCACGTGACCATGGCTTTGGTAGTATCAGCTTCAAGTATCAGCTTCATACAAGTTAGAGTTATCTTTGTGCAAACTAGGTTTGGTGTCAAAGGTACTTAATCGCATAGAGTTCCTTTATCGCCGGCCTTTTGGCTTTGGCGTAATGGTTGGAAGCCAAGGCGTCTAGACCTCAAATTTGGAGGCATCAAGTAAATCTGGATCAAGTTTCATTGTTGCCAACATCAAACTGGATTATAGTCTTTTAGATCCAAAGTCTACTAGAATAGGATGGAAAGGCCATCCATGGTTTATATCCATGGCATAAAACCGAAGTATTGACTTTATGGAACGGTTCGTTTGTTGGGTTCGTTTGTCGAGATGGGGTGTCTGTTTGCAAAGTAACACAAAATGCAACATTTCTTTGTAGATTCTGGTCCATAAATTAGAGTTACCAGTGTATTGTGAAAAGGGCACCTAGGAATAACGGAAAGGCAGAAAGGAAAGTGCTATCAATACTACATGAGCTTGAATGCCTCAGGCAACAATTGTGATTTGAGGCTTTTGGTTTATCTCTCTTCTATAAAAGATAGAAAAAAAACAGATAAAGGCGAGAACGACCAGAGTCGAACCGGAACAGTCCAGGTAGTGGAAGATCTTCGGCACTTCCCTCGTGGTACACATGCATGTTACCACTAGGCCACCCGCTGTTGAGTCTTTAGTATTATGTTGCTCCTCCTTTTCTCTCGCACTTTCCAAGTTTGCTTACACATAGGGACACAATACAAGCTATGTCCATCTTAGACATGTGTACGTGTCCAGGTTGATGAGATAGGTTTATCATCTTCTGATTCTCTTCTACAGACTTTCATTATCAAGATATAGTCGAGTGCAGCGCATAGATTTGAAAAGAAAGCAAGCCACATGTGAAAGGGTATCTCAAGTATGAAACAGACAAAATCCACCCAAAAAGGAGATCCAGATCTATCTAGACTTCCTCTGAGCCCGCCACTCCCTCCACCGTTCCATGAGCCTATGCGACCTCATAGCCTTGAGAAATGCATAAGCAACAGCCCGATATATGATCGTACAAACACCCAACGCCATGATATTCATCGGCCCATTCTTATCCAGATTATAGAGCTTAAGCACCTGCTCACCGGAATCAACAGGACAGCCCCCGTTAGCGAGCCTCTGGGCATCGGAGCAATGAAACACCTGGCCATGCATGGAATACGGTGCCAGATTAGCAATGGCATACTTAATCGGCGACAGATGGTTCAGCGCCTGCAGCACATTGTTGACATTAAGACTCATGACGCCGCCGAGGATCGTCGAAATGGAGAGCAGGATAGACGTCACATTGACGGCGAAGCCAACGTGCGAGAACAGCGTGCAGAACATTATTCCCACGGACTCGCCACAGCTGATTATGCAGAAACAGTTGAACGCGCTGATGAGGAACATCGTGACAGTGCGCTGCAGGTTGTCTGCAAAGGCAGCTAACGCGCCGAAGATTAGTGATGAGACTATCTCGAAGGGGATTTCGATCGCGGTGTAGCTGAGGATAAATGTTGATGCCGTGTAGCAGTTGTCTGCTTCTTCGCGGTAGAATACATCTCGTTCGCTGGGGTAAATAGCGATATTTTGGAGCATTCCTATTTAGGATATTAGCCTGCCTATACAAAAACGACATCCAGCAGAGAGAGCCGGGGAACAATAGAGTAAGCTGACCAACAAAGTACAACGCCGCAAACTCTTGAACAAACCCCATACGTGATTGCACAGCCGCATAATCATTCTTCAGCGGCGCAAAGAAAAGCGCCATGATAATCGCTATCCCTGGGATCTGCATCGACCGCGCCATAACCAGCGGCGGCTGGCGCCAGAAATTGACCACGGAGCGATGCAATACCAGGGGAAATGTCACGCGGAATGGCAGCATTTGGCGCTTGAGACTGCCCAGTTCCGCAGGCGTGGCAATCTGCGACGTCTGCCGGTCTAGCCTTAACTCGAGAGGGTTACTCTGCCAGCAGGAAATGAGACCCTGCACACGCTCGCGTGTGACGAGTTCACGGTCTGCTTGTTGGAGATCGACAGTGATGAGATCTAGGACAAAGTCTGCTGGGTTGGTTGTGCGTGGACACTCGTGGCCCTGCTCGGCAAAGTGCGCGAGCATTTGTGTTCCGGGACCTGCGTAGACGGGGTAGCCCCCGCGGGCTAGGAGGAGGACTTGGGAGAAGTGGGTGAAGAGGTCTGAGCGGGATTGGTGGAGGGTAAGGATTAGGGTGCGGCCTTCGGCGGCGAGGCTGTGAAGGAGCTCGATTATGGACATTGCTGTGAAGGCATCGAGGCCGGAGGTTGGTTCGTCGAGGAGGAGGACTTTGGGGTCTGTAAGGATTTGGATTGCAATTGTTACGCGTCGCTTTTCGCCGCCGCTGATTCCTTTGATGAGGTCGCTACCGATGAGATTGTCGGCGCATTCCTTAAGTCCCATTTTATAGAGGATCTCTTCTGCGCGTCGGTCTTTTTCTTCGCTTGACATCCAGGTTGGGAGGCGTAGACCTGCGGCGAAGCGTAGACTCTCTCGAACGGTCAATGAGGGCATCAGTGCGTCGTCGTCTTGCGTTACAAAGGATGTCACCGAACGGATCACACTTTCTGAAGGTACCGCGCCGTTGTAGAGCATGTTACCATGGACGCGGTATTGTGTCCCTACGGACCCGTGCAGCCTGTGGGCTATAGAGTTGAGCAGTGATGTTTTGCCACTTCCAGATGGGCCCATGATAATGTTCAGCTCGCCTGACTGAAACTCAGCGGTAATAGGTCTCAGAATCTGGAGTGTTTTCGCAGTTTCCCAGGGGTATTGTCGCTTTCGAATATCCAACGCGTACTTGTCAAGCGATATTGCCACTTTGCGCGCCTCCTCTCTTGGGCGTATAGCGAGCTTGGATTTTCCACTAGTTGGGTCTCCTTCGGTTTTTCGTGCCTGGGCAACATCTATCGCGAAGCGGTTATATTGGAGCAACAGACCGGCGAAGATATAGTGGCAAACGGCAAACGCGATTAATACCACAATAGGCCGCCAGATCCACTGCGACGGCATTCCTAGGCTTTCCATGATATAGCGCCCGGTATATTGCTTGCAGGCGGGGTCTAGGGGATTATCAGAATATGGACAGGCGTAGAACTGCCCCAGTTCCGAGCCATTGGGTCCAATAAACTCGTTTGCACACAGAGCCCCAAAGATGTAGAATGTATACGCACACCATTTCAACCATCTCACGTAGACCGGGATCTGGTTAGACTGGACAAAGTATCCACACGCAAAGGATTGCAACGTGAAGGATAGATTTGCCA